TAGAAAGGATACAGTATAGTTGTTTGTGTATGTACATTTACATTTAAAGCATTTAGCAGACGCTCTTATCCACAGTGATGTACAAAAGTGCTTTGTTGCTCACTCCGTCCACTTAGCTAGTAAAAATAAATTAGAGCTAAGACACTGCCAGAAAAGTGCCGGTGTTGATAACTTGAAAGAAAGATCCAAAATAAAGAATTAGGACAGAACTGCAAAACCAGACAATTTCATAAGAATTGGAATTTGAAGATGGTGAGGGATTCTGCTCTTCACATGTTCAATTCACCACCTGGTGCCAGGACAGAGAAAACACGTCTTCCATGTGTTTTGAAGGATGGTGGGTCAAGCTAAGAAGGTATAAGACATAGATTGAGTTTGTCATCAGGCAGGGAGCAGCAAGTCCTTTTTTTGGCTTTGTGGCCAAGCATCAGAGTTTTAAATCTGATGCGGGCAGCTACAGGACACCAGCAAAAAGAACGTGGCAGTGGAGTGACGTGGGTGAACTTAGGAAGATTGAAGACAAGCCGTGCTGCTGCATTCTGGATCAGCTTTAAGAGCCTGATGGCATGCATAAAAAGACAAGCCAGAAATGTGTTGCAGTAGTCAAGCCTTGAGGTGATAAGAGACAGAACAAGCACCTGGGTGTCCTTCCTAAAGGGAAAGGGTCAAATATTCTGGATGTTGTAGAGGAGAAACCTGCATGACCCAATCAAGTTGGTAATATGAGCCAAAAATGAAAACTGGCCCTCCAGAATCATATAACCGAGCGGCTGTGGGAAACTTGATGGCATTTTCCAAGCCTGGTTTCAATTAGCCACAATAACACACTCCAGCTGGGTAGTGTAGCATTTTAAACCAGTCACTCAATATCATTTAGTGAATCTGAACTCCAACCTAAATTTGTTCAGTTGAATTGGAATTTCTTTCAGTGTTCGGCAAAGCTTGTCCAATCTCACAATAGTTGATATGAAGGAACACATTTGAGGGCAGAGCACAATAGGTCAGTTGTGTTATGAAGCCCAGTTTGGGAGTCTTCACTATCTGTTGGTGACCCTGCATGTGTGCTCTCTCTTTTTCAGTACTGGATGTCTCCGTCTCTCAGAGGTTGTCTGGGAATTTATGCTCTGTGGGCGTAATAAAAGCTCGTCTTCAGCAGTGGACAACAAGCTTCAGCAGCAGACACTAATTCTGGTTGCATGTGCCTGATGGAACCTTATTAAGGCCTGCAGAATGAGCCTGCTGGACGTAAGGAGTGGGTGGTCCCCTATATCACTGTTTTTTGTCAGTGCTGGCGGCCTTGTATCTAAATGTCATCACATTGGGTTGATGCGCAAGAGTGGATTGGGAGAGAGACGTGAATGTCAGGATGGGTCTCGCAGCTGTTTTAGAGCAGATTTCAGAGCCACACTGTCCTTTAAAGAGCTCTACAAAGCAGCTTCGCAAGTTTACTACACTTGCTCGTCAGTCTGAGAGACTGTACGTGAGTGTGTTTTTTTATCGGATTTAAGGAAGATGAGCCGAGAATTAAAAGACAAGAAAAATGAAGGTCATGTAGTGGTAAACACTTATGTGTGAGGAAGATAAGTGTAGGATAATTCTGTAGTTTACAGGTAACTGGATTTGTCTCTCCAGTTTGGTAGTTTACCCAGTAATTCTAAGGCAGAGAGATCAAGAAGTAACTTTAACGATAACATATAAACATAAGTCACTTAATTAATTATTTAGTACTTTTTAATCAGTGGTATCAGGATTTCGAAGATTTTTTACAATTTCTGTATAATTAAACTGTTAAGATATAAGCAAAGTAGAGGTCTGCTAGCCAACCAAGTACAAAATATGAGATTTTGGCGAATTTATCACATACAACGTTTAGAATTGGGTGAACATGCCACTGAACAAAACTGGAATGAAGTTTGACAGTACATCATTCACAATCATCCAATTGATGGGTTGATAAAAAGGTTGCAGCAGATCTTTCCCCTTTGCCTGTTAAACTTGCCCAAAATGTGTTAAGCATTTCTGCAGTAGCAGCAGTAACATAAGGAACTTTAGCCCAGTGGAGCTAACTCTTGATCGGAGGAACATGGATGCTGTTCTCTGCCAGGTACAATCAGCAATTCTATAAAAAATACAATGCTAATACTGTTAATGTATTACAGATGTGAAAATATCAGTTTATCCCAGCATTCCCATCATAACATTTTCTGTCAATCAAGCATTTTGTTACAAAGCAAAGCACAGTTAAACATGTCTGCAATAATCCATCTGTGTGAGTGGGTTTGGTTTGAGCTCGGGATTCAGGTTAAGCAGTACCAGTCGGGCCTGGTTGGGTTGGGTCTCAATTCGTGGGTAGGGATCAGTTTCAGGCTTTTATTTCATGTCCCATACAGAGTGTTTTGATGTGCAAAATATCTATTTTAGAGAATCTCACAGATTTTTTTTACAGTGGTGTTGATAGGAACAAGATGTCAGAAGAGTTTATGTCCTTTGAATCTATCTGACAGAAAGCTGTTATACAAAGTGGTTATAAATACAGTACATTGCCTCATGCTTTAGACATTGTTTAGGTATAATTTTGGCCCAGGCATGGCTGGGAGGTTCATGCAAGGTATTGTAAGGCAAAATAGCACCAACATTTTTTTAATCCCTATTTTACCATTATAAGCATTTCATATAAAAACTTAGAAGATACTTGTAAGTTTACTGGTCATTTGGTACTGTAAATAAATGGTTATATTTGTATTAAAGACACTGTGTCCTTGGTCCCTGGCACTACCATTGTAAAGAAATCTGAGCTTATAAGCTTCTCTACAGAGTACAATGTCATATCAAACCACTTTGACTTTGATTACATCTCAAAGACAGAATTACAAACACATTGTTAAAAATCGGTCAAATTCTCCTTTAGTTGTCACTGTGCAGACAGCATCTGTAACTACACCTGTCTGACCTTTATATGTTCTTGAGTCTATGAATTTATGTAATATTTCTAACTATGAGTGCATGTGTTAATGTGTGTGACTCTCTTTCTCATACATGAGGCAGTTTGTCAGTATTACAACTATAGAGAGCACAGCAGCTGCTGACAGTGTCTCTTTCTCTGTCCCTTTAAGCCAACATCAGGGGGCTTTAATTTTTTAACGCTCCACACCACACCACAGAGAGAGAGAGAGAGAGAGAGAGAGAGAGAGAGAGAGAATGGAAGAGAGGGAGGGAAGGGAGGAGGAGAGAAGGAAGTGAGGAATGAGAGGACTCAAGTGAGGACAGTGGAAGAAGGAGGGATTGTGAGCGATCAAGAGAGAAAGGAGGGATATGAGTGACAGAGAGGGAGGGAACAAGAGAGGGAGGAGAGAAGAGGGGAGGGTTTCTAGAGAGAGGGAGGGGAAGAGAGAGCAGCATGTTTCCCGTGCTGGCTCGATCATACACGAAAGAGGGAGAGAGAGAGAAAGTCACACACTCACACACACTCTCAGTCACACACACACATATACACACACATACACTCACACACTTACTGTCAACTGCAGGCGCCGAATCAGAGGTGCCTAGCTGAGGAGACTTACCTTACACACACACACACTAAAGGAGAAGGAGTGATAGAAACTGGCATCAGTGTGTACAGAGAAGCCAGAGGAGCCGGGACAGAACTGAACTGAACCGGGACAGAACCTGGATAGAACTGGAACAGAACGGAAATGGACCAGGACATTAGAAATGCAGAACTGTGGAGAACCTGGACTGAACAGCTCTAAACCAGGACAGAACCTGGACAGAACAGTACTGAACTGGAATGGAATCTTGACAGACCTGTACTAAACTGGGACAAAATCTGGACTGAACAGAATTGAACTAGGACAGAAACTGGATAGATCAGTCCTGAACTGGGACAGAACCTGGACAGAACAGTACTGAACTGGGACAAAATCTGGACTGAACAACACTGAACAAGGACAGAAACTGGATGGATCATTACTGAACTGGGAAAAGACCTGGACAGAAGAGTACTGAACTGGACAGTACAGACATCTGTATAGAACTCTGACAAAACAGAAATGGTACATAACTGAACAGCACTGGGATAGAACAATGCTGAACCGGGACAGAACCTGGACTACCAGTGCTGAACCAGGGCAGAGAGTATAGCACTGTACAACTTTACAGCACTGGGACAAAACAGAAACAAGACTGTACAGTGCTGGAACACAAGCTAGATGGAACATTTATGAACCAGCACTGAACCTGGACAGAACAGTGCTGAACCGAGAGAGGGCCTGGATAGAACATTATTGAACTGACATAGAACCTAGACATAACAGTACTGAATTGGGACAGCACCTGGACCAAACAATACTGAACCTGGACAGAACAGTACTAAACCTGAACAGAACATTTACCAAACAACAGTGATCCTGGACGGAACAGTACTAAATTCAACTGAACTGAACCTGTGTAGAACAGTATAGGGCAGGGATAGAACTGTGTAGAACAAAGAGAAAGCTGTACTGAATCAGGACAGACCTGTATTGTACCAGGACAGAACTGAACTGAACCAGGAGAGAACTGTACGGAACCAAGAGAAAACTGTGCTGAACCGGGACAGAACTGTACTGAACCAAGACAGAACTGTACTGAACCAAGAGAGAGCTGTACTGAACCAGGACAGAACTATACTGAACTAGGAGAGAGCTGTACTGAAGCAGGACACAACTGTATTGAACTGAATCTTCCTGCCTGACTTTTTTTCTCAGGACCTGTACAACACAGCTGGTTTCCGGAGTTGACTGACACGTACAAGCTACAGCGATCTCTCTAAGGAGCACATACCTGCACCCTCCATCTTCTCCACACCTCCCTCTCCCTCCCGTCATCCCACGTTCATTCATCCTTCTCTCCTGTCTCGTGTCTCAGTGTGTGTGAAGGACACAGAACTGCCAGGAGATTAGCTGCACACCACGCTGCTCTCCTTTTTACGCTGAGGGAGAGGCTCTCCTCTCTCCTGCTCCCACTCTCTCTCTCTCATTTTGTGTCCGCTTTCCCTCGTTCATGAATGTCACCCCTGTGCGAGGGAGCCTGTGAAATTTACAAACCCTCTCCCAGGGGCTGGAAATGGAGGGAATGCATAGGGGGCATGGAGGAGGGAAGCCGTCTCCCGTCTGATTCCTTCCATCCTTGTTTCTCTTCCTCTAATCCCTCACTCTGGATGTGAGCTTCTGGGACGACCGTACCAGGTTTTGATGTTTTTTAAATACCTTTCTTTGTTTGTTTAAAAGCAATTTCTCTATTTATTTCAATTTAATTGTAATGGAGTCAAAACAGATTTCAGGTTGAAGAAAAAGAATGTCAGTTTAGTGTTTATGGATTTTTTGGAAGGTTTGGTTGGAGTTGTCTCAGTTGAGAGGTCAGAGAATCTGGATGATGTGATTTGCTTTTTAATTTGACAGCAGTCTAAAGTCTTGATTTCCAGTCTAAAGTCAAGGTTTTGGGAAGCTACGAAGTCAATTTGAAGCTGGATAAAGTGCATGTGGTGTGGAGGCTTGTCCAGGACAGGCTGGGATGGGACTGCAGAGACTCCAAGAGATGGAGATAGAGTGAAGCATGGACGAGCGGTGCCTCACTCTCTGCTGCCGGACAGCAACAACATGACTCCGCTAATCACCCACTGCCACACTCGTGGTCCAACGTTAGCATATCGGCACGACAACTGAAACACAACACCAGCAACTGAACTTGCCACTTCAAAATCAATAAGAACAGCAGTTGCCATTTAGGAAACAACCTTGATTCAATTCAAAAAGACTCTTTTTTTTTGTTTGTTTGCTTCTGTTTTTTCAACCAAAGAAAACTTTACTGGGACTTTATTTGGTGTGAACCCACCCCTTTGACTCATAGATCCAGCCCCCTTTTCTCTCTTTGATATTGCCTCCTCATCTGCTGATTGCCTCGGGAGACCCTGTACCTCTCCTGCTGTCTGTGCTCCCCCTGCCTGTTCCTGTCCGGCGCCCTGGGTGACTGGGCGGGCTGGCGGCCTTTTGACGGGTGATCCTGGCACGACAAGATGGCTGCCCTCGCCAGCTCACTGATCCGACAGCGCAGGGAAGTGAAGGAACCCCAGGCCAACCGGCAAATCGCCAGCAAGCGCAAGCCCTGCCCCAAGAGCAACAAGTCCCTGTGTCAGAAACAAATCCTCATCCTTATCTCCAAAGTGCGGCTATGCGGCGGCCGAGGGAGGAAACTGGAGAAGAGACCCGGTGAGTCCAGAAAGGTTCCTTTTCCTTCTTCCACACTTACCTTCTGTGTTCTTTCCAGCTTCAAGTTAGGGTTAAAGTTGATCACAATCACATTTCTTTTGTTATCTTCTGTTATGATTTTATCTGTGAGTAGGAGGATTTGATAATAATTTAAAGAACTAACTGAAGGACAAAAATCATTATTGCCTGCTTTGACCCTGTGAGTGTTCTGAGCACTCATGCACTGATACCCTCTGAACTTGGGTGATTGTGTATGGTGCATTGACAAGTTGTGTGATGTAAGCATGTTCTGGTTATCAGGGATGAAGAACGTCGCTTTTAAACCACTTTTAACAAAAATGTTACCCAATTTCCAAAAGTGTAATTTGGTCTTCCATATTGTGATTGGTCAGATCAGTTTGCCATTTACTGTAAATGACAAAATACTTACTTATCAGCAGTTTCTTACTCTAGTGCTGAAGTGTGTATGTGATACTGGAGACACTCATAGGGATACTAAAGATGTCCTCTAGAGCTGGCATGATACCACTTTGCTGATACCGATACCAACACTGAAATCTTGAGTATCAGCCAATTTTTTTTTCAAAACTACTAAGGTGGTTACTGTGGTTACTGTGGTCTCCTGATATCTGATCTGCTGATATCGACCCAATACCGATACCCAGTATGCAGTAACGTCTTCCGTAAAAGACATCAGTGTGCTGTCCATCAGTGTCTGGTGGAGAACAGCGCTTACTGCTGTGTAATCGTCCTGATTATTTGGTTGTGTGACGCTGCAGTGCCTGGCAATTTATAGCCAACAGATGCAAAAGTCGCATGTAAAAACATTTACAAGTCCTCCAGTGTCTGCCTCACTCGTCCTCTCACTATGCAACTGTATGTATAGAGAGACTGCATGGATGAGTGTTGGGCTGGGTGGATGAACGTTGTTGTTTGTGTAATAAACCACAATGACAGTTTTACTCTGTCACAATAAATCGATCATATTACTGATGAGTTCATGTTGGGTAGGTGGTAAAGAATACGGGCAAAGGCCCTTCAGAGGTTTATAACATCATAGAGAAGTGGTGGGGAACTGAACCATCTTTAACAGATGTGCTCATCTCCCTCTTGAGAGACTGTAATGCAATGTTTACTGTTGGAAAAGCCTGAATGCATTTTACACAGCTTTTCAAAAGATAGCCGGAGGGGTTTGGTTTGAAGTTTGAGTAGATGAATTCATCTGAAATGTATTTATGTTTGTGTGCATGTATGTACAAAGTGCAGCTTGCCAATTATGAGATAATGATCAGCTTTACCCAAGAGATAGTCTAGAACAATATCTAGAACAATTAAATGGAGTCCTCTGTGTTTCTTGTCAGCATAGGGAGCCGCTGGGGTGAATGCTATGCAAATACCATAAATGAAGCATGGAAATTGAATTGGGTCTCTCTTACTATCAGACCCCTCTGGTCTCCTGCTCTTAGACACGGTGAATCCTTCACCCCAGAAATTAGCCATCCTGTTTTTCATAAATGCATTTCTTTTTTTATTCAATTTACATTTGAATGAAACTTTTAAAATAGAATAATACTCTCTGAGACGGTTTGGAGAAAATGCTACGAATATGTGCCTGTGGCGGATTTAGCCTTATCTACTGGTACAGAGGTGACACGGGGACAAGTTGTATGGTGGATGTGTTGCCTAGTGGCATCCAGAAGGCAAACACTGCTGATTTATTTCAGTCTCTTATGGGCACAAACTCTTTCTTTAACCCTATTTGAGCTTGACTACTTCTAAAATCTAAAATCTTTAGGTACTATAATTGAAATGACTTTTGTAGAGATTTGTGACTTTAACCCAGCATCACAGGCATCACAGTTAATAATTCCAGAGTAATTCCATTGTTGCCTGTGGTAAAAATGAATGTCATTATAAATCACCGCTATTGCACCCTGTGGTAAACAAAGATGTACCAAAGATAATATGTGTTGTTCTGTGTATATTTTCCCCCAAATGTCGCCAGGTCCTCTGATCTATGAGGTTACTAAATAGTATACAAACATACATGTTTTGCCACATACATACTACAAGCAAGCTAACACTCTTGTGCATCGTACTGACTGTGTGAAAGAAGCTGCTACTATAATTTAACACAGTTGCACAACACCAGCTACTCAGACTGTAGCCTACTGTCAAAATAATTTCACTTTCACCCATGATAAAGCTTACTGGCTTCCATGGCATATTATGGTGAGGTTGCCAGTTTTCATGTTGCATATGTGTATGTGTAATTAAAATTACTTTGGAACTCATTGGTTAACCTTGGAGCATGATAACACCATCTATTTTTCACAGATTTGACCCAGGACTCTGGTTGCTAATAGATGATGACACTACCTCAAAGATCTAAAGAAGTCTTGTTCAAATCAATAACAATAATTTAATAACAAAACCCACTGGAAATAAACAACACCACTTCTTTTGGCGGTCGGAGGACAAGGTGTATAAAATGTCTTGACAAAGTTCTTTCATCCTCAATACAGGTGTACAGTAAGCTACAACATTTTGAAAATAATGTTATTGTCATTGACTGTGATCTGATAATGTAATGCTAACATGAACTGATGTTTCAATCCAGGTTGTCTGTGGTAAATCCATTTTTTTTTCTTTTTGCACATTTAAAAAAATCATGTCTGTCTTGTATATTCTGTAAACATTTTATGATGTGAACTGATTGATTGTAGATAATCTTACCAACTCACATTTCTTCGCAGTGGTGGTGCCACGCATGACCAGTGAATCTATTGTAAAACAGTGTCTCAGGCATCAGCAGGCAGCGTACTCACAGTGTAATAACTTTCTGTGAGGGACCTTTAGAGGCATTTAACACCTCAGATGACTGGTTTCTATCACCACCACTGTAAACAGTTCTGCAAACATGTTCCTCTGGAAAGCACACATTTCACATCATAACATTCTGCATGACCTTGCTTACATCCAGACAGTTTAACTGTTTTAACCATGCAAACTTTATTTTTGTTCTCCTGTGAAGTTCCCATTTTGTGGATATGAAGTTTAGTTATGACAGTTAGTGTTAGTGTCAGTGACAATATACTTTATCCCTATGAATTATTTAGTATTTAAACATTACATTATGGAACATCCCCTAGTAAAGCTCGTCCAGCTCCAAAGGTGCTTTTCTCTTTCGCACACACGTATACACAGTAACGCACACTTGAGAGAGCCTCATCAGTTCAGAGGGCTTGGCTACGTGCGCGTCATCACGTCGGGATATTGATGACAGGCGTGAGCCAAGTTCATCATGGTAATTACCAGGGAAAGCGTCCTCGCGTAGCACAGCATCTGCTGCGGCACAGCGCCGGCTGCCCAGCTGTAATTATGTGGTAAAATACGGCCGCACACAAGCCTGCTTTGCCTTTGGTTCTGTCGCTGTTAGGATCACCGGATGCTGCTCCAAAGTGCTGTGCTTATTGTTTTATTATGGAAATGGCAAGGGGTCTGCCTCAGCTTTGATGGAGGAGAATCAGCGGCTGACGGTGCTCATAGTGTTGCCTTGTCATACGCACAGATTCGCCTGTCAGCACAAAACCCTGAGCAAGAGGGAGAGAGATAGAGAGGAAGATGGAGAGAGGGAGAAAGCCCTTGGTGTGTAATTTTGCAAAGGAAATACTCCTTAGAGAGCGCTGATCTCTCTCTCTCTCTCTCTCTCTCTCTCTCTCTCTCTGTACCCCAGGGTAAACGAGAGAATTTATACGCTGTTTTACTTTAGAAACTTTACCCTATATGAACTCAGGGTGCCCTCCCTTCCTCTAACTCTCACTCTGTCTCTTTTTCCCTCCTTTCTCTGTCTCCCTTCCTCATCCCTCACTCTCTCTCCAACGCTCTCTCTTTGTCTCTCTCTGCCTTGATCCCTCTAGCTCCTCTCTTTATGTCTCTTGTCATACATCACTCCTTCTCTCCCTCTTTCCTGGTCTATCTTCCTCTCTTTCCGTCCTCCCTTCCTTCCCTCAAAATCTCTCTCTCTCTCTGTCTGCCCCTTATTTTGTCTCTTCTCTCTCCTTTTCTTTCCCTATCAGGATTTCAGCTGTTTTAAAAACAATCTAGAACCAAGAAAAAATGTAAACAAACCAACAAACATTGGGGTCCAAAATCTGAGACTGCTTGTGAAAATGTATCTACTTTGTATCTACTTTAATTTTCTTTTCTAATTTACCAAAAAAGTTTTCATTATGAATTTTTGTATAAACTAAATACTAAAATTGTGAAATTTCTGTAAACATTCAAAGATTCTACATTTCACTCAAAGTGTTATGCTGATAGTAAGAAAAATGTATAAAAATTCATAATAAAAATGTTTGTAGTAAATCAGAAAAGAAGACAAACGTCCATATGCCTGTGTGCATGCAGAGGGTGAGTCAGATTTCAGCAAATCACTTGTTGTCTAAAACTGTGTTCAGCTACACAGTAGTTTGTTTATTTTTATAGTTCACAGTAAGTCATGCTTTCCTCTAAATCATATCCAGTCTGGATGACCTTAATGAACACCTGGATGCAGTGCAGGTTGAGAGAAGTTTTAGGGATGTGTTTATGGAAAAGATTTGGGTAACTATTGACTTCTAGTTTTTAGCAAAGTTAGCCTTGTAGCTCCAGCACTAGACTAAAGAAGCAAATCTGGACACCAAACATGTCTTGACTGATCAGCTGAATCTGAGACAAGTGGAAAGTTGATTTTTTCATTGCTCTATTTCTTCAAGGTTGCTTCACAACATTAAACCATGTGACATAAATTGAGTAGACACAACACAGAACAGCAACGACAAGTGCACACAGTAGGCAAAACATACAGTAAATAAGGATATAGAAAGAATTATAATACTAGAATTACAGAGACTGTGTGTGTGTGTGTGTGTGTGTGTGTGTGTGTGTGTGTGTGTTTGTGTGTCTTTTTGCTCTCCAGCTGTGAGATTTCACCCTGTGTGTGTGTGTGTGAGTGCTGG